TATTCCGTTCGTGTTCCAGGAGCATGCGGTCACCAGAGCATCCATGCCCAAACCATAAGTCCGTGTGTGTTCCGCATCCATGCCGTTCGTGTTCCAAGAGCATGTGGTCACCAGAGCATCCATGCCTAAACCATAATTCCGTTCGTGTTCCAAGAGCATACGGGGCCCGGCAGCATCCATGCCCAAGCCATGGATCTGTTCGTGTTCCAAGAGCAGGCGATCACCAGCGCATCCATGCCCAAACCATAATTCCGTGCGTGTTCCAAGAGCATACAGTCACCGGAGCATCCGCACTCTTAGCCCCTCAACATGTAAAATCCTACTGAAATTGTGGCTTAGCAGGTCCAGCCTTATCATGCGCAATCCTGCCGGTGCCCTTCAGGTGTTCATCCCTGGCAGCTGTTTCATGTCAGGTTTTTTTCTGAACGACCTGGGATAAAGCTTCTTTCGGGCTCCTCTAAACGCATTTCGTATGGAAATTCTCAGTATTTTTGTGCCTTGCATACACTCGAACCTTTCGCAGACCCGGCGAGACGAGGGGGCGTAGCGTTTAGGGTTTAGGGTTTAGGGCTAATGTAGATTCCTAAGCAGTTATCTAGCCCAAAGCTCGAGTAGTTAGTAACCCTATAGAGCTACAAACTATAGATACCCCAAGGAGGTAGCATATTCATGACTGAAGGCCCCTGTGCATTGTTAAATTATAGATTTGGAGCCCCCGTGCAATGAAACTTCCTTATGATTGGCTGCCAATCGGTTTGGATCTCGGGGTCCTGGCATGGGCGGTCTCATTTTAGATCCTCATCGCAAGCTGTTTGCTTGGTGAGTTTCGGCGAGCAAGGGTTCGATGTAATTCTAGATACCTTAGTAGTCCCCCTTTTCCCTTTTTATTCCAGATTCTCCTTATTAAAGCTGAACATTATGGAAAAGATAGAAAAAGGGGACTCTTTTATTAATGGGGTACTGCGGAACCTAGAATCAGGGACAGGGGAATCCTTTCCTTACAGAGTAGTTTTGCAGGAATTTGTTGCAAAAGGGTTCAGGGTAGGAATTTGGAGGCTTTCGGGGTGGAGCGCTCTAGTTTGACATCCTCAGAGTTCACACCTTTCGACTTAACAAATTATTCGACATGCAAAAGTCGGGGTAAATTGCATCTAAAGATTCTAGGTACCCCAGGATTCCATGCCATGCTAGTCCCTTGGGTAGGATAGCGCCCATCCCAGAGTTTGAGTTTGATCATGGCCCAGAGGTCCTCATTGCTGCAAACCCTGGTTTTGTAAGCCGTACATATGACCAGGTCGCTGCCAGTAGTGCAAAGGGGTCGCAGTTGCCGATACGGACATGTCTCTCCTCATCTTGCGGGCCCTTGGGTTACTGGAATCCGCTGACAGGTCCTTCTTGGTGGCAGTTAGGTATATCCCCGCAATGTTTTTCAACACATGCCTCTCGTTTTTGGGCCTTGGGGGGGCTATTGGTTGTAGGGGATGCCTCAGGGTCTCAACAGTATTCCTTTTGCGGAGGGTGCCTGTGTCCAGAGAATTGCACTGCACTGATGCGAGTTCTCCTTTCAATTGCCTAGAAGCAGAGCCCTCAAGCAAGCTCCCAAGGCGCACGGAGTCTCTGTGCATGAGGAGCTAAGTAATTCAGAGAAAACTCATGTTGAAATCAGGAGAGAACCTTGGATAGTAGCTGTCTATCAATCATTGCTCATTGTAGAAGTCACTAGTTACTAGTGTTTCGTAATATGCCTACCGAGGAGAGAGCCACTCAAAGAATGGACGAATGATCTCTGCAAACAACCTTTCAAGACTGAACCCACCCCAGACCCAAGATACTGTGCTACTGCCACTGATAATAACCATAGTAACAGTAATAGTAATGGTATTATCAATGCTACATTTATTATGATCATTATCATCATTATTGCTTGTTTTTCATTTACTAGACTCACTGGCTGATAGTAGGGAATATGGGAATAAAAACCCCTGTAGACTATAATCCCTACATACTCCCCAAATATTTTTCCCTTATTCCCTACTAATATCCAGTAGGTAGAGCCCTTGGCCTTCTGCTGAGGATGCTAAAGGCTCTGTGCAATCTCTGTTGAAAGCGAAGGCGCCATCTGTGTCAGATGATAAGGGGGTGGTTAAAACCACGTGAGCTGTAATCTAAAATCCTTGAAGGGGATTATATCGGGGAGTATTCTGGGGCTTATTCAGGGGGATGCTAGGAGTTTGGGCTATAGCTCATGTGTTCTTTGTTGGAACCAGCTTGGGATGGCGTAGACTGTACGGCCCAGGAAGGCTTGACTCGAACTTGCGGGTTTCGTTTAGGGGCGTTACCGCCCAGCCTCCTGGTGGTTGGGGGCTTGGACTCCACTTCTGAGAAGATCTTGTGCATGCTTGCCGCCTCTACCTAGTTCTGAGGATGGTACCTTATTGCAAGTAGCTCTTCCACAAGGATAGGGTCTATATGTTAACTGATCAATGTTATTAGCTGTTAAGGCCGCAAGGGTTGCCCCAGCTTAAACGGATCCTTAACTTGAAGCATGTATTTTTCAGGAACTATTCGTGCTAGACAGTCACTTTTGTCTACGGAGTGCAGACACATGGAGCAGGAGTTTTTGGTTCAGTGTTCGGAAATTCTTGTACATTTCTGGGGATTATCAGATCCTGCTTACCTGGTTTCACACAAGTCGCACAAGTAAGCATCTTCTAGCATCGCCTTCTAGATTGGACGAGACAATCTTCACGTCATTCCATGGACTCCTTGCAGTAGCCTCCGGCGGCACGAAGCGCAACAGGTTGCAAGTGCCACAGCCTGTGTCACAAGAGGTCTTCTCTGCCAATTCTGCACTGACAGGCGATTCGCGAACAGCTCTGACCTCAGGGGTCGTTGAGTACATGCTGATGCAAGCTTAGTTCCAGCTTCGGGCCTAAAGGGCGTAGGGTGTTTTCGGGTGTCCACTTTCCCTGCATGACAATACATGCGACTTATTGGCGAGAAAATATTTTGCCGAAGCGTGATCGAAGTTTCAACCCGTCTCGAAAGCCGCTTCTTGGTGCATATCTGTATGTTGTCATTCGGTTGTGATTGCCTCCAGCTGTTCTTTTTTGCTTCAAATAGTATCTAGGTCTAGATAAGCAGCCATGCTTGCCTTGCCGCTAAACCCTCAACCCTGAACCTTGCCCCATCAAAGCCTTTCTGGGATGGGGTTGTAAAAGCTCCCGAGTCCCCAACAAGAGTGGGCCTGTAAACCCTTAAGATCCAAAGCCTCAACCCTAACTGCAAACCCAGTAACAGGGCGAATCCCCGCATGAAAGTACCATACTTGGCAGAACATTCAGTGTCGGGGTCGGCTGGGCATCCCCCATCCCCCAAACCTAGCAAAGATGGCACTAGGAGAAATCATCCTGTTTTAATGGTCAGACTGTCTGGCTGCTATTCTAGCAGCAAAGTTGCTTGAATATAGCACAGAACAGTGATGACACCTGACCAACATCCGCAGGAAGGAGCTCAAGTCTCACGAGCCACAGCTCCCGACCCAACGAAGTTTTTTCAGGTGCGCCATCATCCGCCATGACGCCTCGAGTCCTTGTGCTGCTTATTGCGGGTCTGTTGACAACAGGTAGAGGCATTGTGATGCGCGAGCATGCCACCAGCAACCAGATGGATCGAGGACCCACCGACCTCCCGGCATGCCTCGGCAAAATTCTCCAGGACGAATCTGGCGACAAGTGGCGTTGCGACAATTTCCACGGGGCGGCAGGCGAAGAAAAGCAGTGTGAAGAACGCTATGAATCAGATGGTGCCAGATTTTGGCAGTGCAAGGCCATTGCTCGATCCAGCAGCGGCAGCTTCAATTGCTTGACCCACACCCCGTGCGACCCAACCAAAGAGAGCCCAGTGGTGGCAGAGGACCCGGCGGCAAGCTCCGATTAGAATTCCCCATCCGGAGATTTGCCTAAAAACCTTTGTGGTATCTGCAAGTCTCTTCCAAAGTCAGCGTTTGTAGTGATGATATAAAAACACCAATCTCCTCTCATTTCGTTTCCCTGTCGCCACATGTTCCCATAGGAAGTAGGAAGAAGAGGCACACGCCTCACAGTGACCGGAGCCCGGAAGAATTTGTTAAGCGACTTCCTTTGAAGGTGTGTTGCTAGATCTTGAATCTGGAATGTTTTTGAAGCGCTCTACGGACTCTAGCACTCGGATGCGCTTGGGAAGACCTGCAGGAAGCCAGACATGCAAGCCCCACCCCCATCATTTCTCATCACCATGTTCGCCACTTCCAAATGCGGACCTCGGGAGGAGAATCTTGTGGCCCGCTGGCCCTTAAAGAATGGTGACTTGAAGGACTGGGATGCTTCGTCAATCCAGGATGTTGGGTTTCAGGCTCAGGGATGTTGAAGGTGTCCACCCCTGCCTCAGTCTCATTGGTTTTTGGGCCCAACTTCAGCTTTTGAGCCTGGAGCCCAAACATGAGGCAGTGAAGGCTTCAGGTAACCCTGGGCTTCGTTTCAGACAGGCACGTAAGCAGCTCCACGCCCCTTGATAGGAGGCCTCTCTTTCAGGAATTCGCATGGAACGATGGCCTTGGGCCACCACCTAAAGTTCTGCAAGCTGTCAATTTTAGGGGTTGTGTTCTCCGCTCCAGAGATTTTTTCTGGCTTTTGCCTTGCAAACGCGTTTGTCATCTACTTTCAATTGAAAGGTTCACATAGTCTATTTGTCATGTAGGCTCGAGCAGCTTGCAGGGCCTTCTTCGATTTGGATGACAGTGTGGCACCTACGGTCTAAGAGACTAACTCAATCCCCCAAGGACATGTTTCCTATGCTGATTGAGCCAGCCGAAGAGTGTACAACCAACTTGGGCCGACCCATGAGAAGTCGAACTGCCACGAAGCCCAGGGCCAGGGTCTAGGTTTCAGGGCTCTTGGCAGAGTCATTTTTCATGTTGAGGGTCGAGAGCTTTGTGGCTCATGGTGTGCCCTGGCGCGGAGGAGATCAATGGCAAGTGCACCCTCACTAAGCAAAGCGCCGTCACTTGGGTGGCCGACAAAGATGGTGCTGCAAATAGCGCACTCTCGTTTCCGATGGGCTCCAACAGCTGCGCCTACTGCCACACGTCGAAGCATCATAAGCACGAGTTGTTTTAGTAGGAGAAACAGTGACCCCTTAGCATAGCTGTAGTTCAGTATTGTGTGTAGCATGTGAGACTAGACTATGCGTGAATCGGGGATGATCGAAGTATATGTGCATTCACTTTCGTGTCTACTAGTTCTGGTTATGTGTGTATATATGGTGGAGATCTGTGTAGTCGAAAGTAGAGGGCTTAGGTGATTCTGTGGCCGGCTTGCCTAGTGGCTCGGAACCCCGGACAATGATGATGTGGATCTACGTTGACTCGGCCACGCGGAACAACATCGGGGTGGGTGGATACGGAATAAACAGTCGTGGACAAAGCTTCGCCATGGCGCTGCGAGGGAGCCATCAGTGGACCTTTGAAGGGTGGGGCCCAACGCCAAAAAGTAGTGAGAGGGCGACATTCGACAAGTGGATGCACCTGACCTATACCTACGACGGTAGCAAGGGCAAGTTCTTCTTCGACGGAGAGTACAAGGCGCAGGTCAGTGTTGGATCCCTGAAGACACCAACCTCGCCGAGAGTTGTTTTGGGATGCGAGGTTGACATTAACGAAGGCATCAAGGCCAAAATGGCCGACATGAGAATCTACAACACTGTCCTGAGCGATGCAGATATCGCCAAGGCCGCAGGTGAATGAGCTGGTGATGGTCTAAAGGGACTGTCTTAGGAGGATTGCTTAGTCTTATCCTCTACCGGCCAAAATCCCATGAGCGTAGCAGAAAGGCTTTTGCCATGTAAACGTCCTGAGCACGACTGAAGGTAGGGGATGACATGGCAACCCCAGTTTGAAATTCATGTTCCACTTGATCCTCTACTGTTAATATAAACCCTCTATATGCGTACGTAGCCCTACATGTCCGTATATAACCCGGTATATCCGTATATAACGCAATATACAGTACGCTCCATGTCAGCTTCCGTTCGGTTCCAACTCAGGACCGGCAGCCGCAAACCCAAAACCCCACACCCTAAGTTCTGAACCATGAATCCTAAATTGTAAATCCCAAGCCCTAACCCCTGAATCCTAAACCCTACACCGCAATTCTCATCCCTAAACCCTACTGTAATCTTGTAAATCCTAAACCCAAAAACCACCAAATCCTAAACCCTATATGTACCCGAGAAGCTCCCTTTGAGGCTAATTTTGGGACCCCCCACCATAAAATCCTAAAACCTTCAATCAGGACTGGCAGCCTCGAAGGGCCTGCTGGGGCCAATCTCCTTGGTAGTCTGGCCTGGTCCAGGGCGCAGTGTGGTGCGGAGACTCAGGAAATTCGGGTTTAGCGGGGATAGTGGAAAATAGAATTGAAACTGCTATAATGGGGTTATATAGGGTTTAGGGTTTAGGGCAGCTTAGGGTTTAGGGTTAGGGCTTGGAATTATAGGGAATTTCTTCGAGAAAATCCAAAGAATCCGACATACGGATCCCCATATTCTTTTAGGGTCCTCAGCGGTACCTCGCTTCAATGACAAGCTTAGCAAAGCCCATGTCAAAAAGAGTCGGGGGCCCGGTTTAAGGTTAAGGGGTTCAGGTCCTTCTTGGGGCTGTGAGCGAGCCTTGATGCAGAAAATGGCTGTAGGGTTGACGGTTTAGGATTGAAGGTTTAGGATTACGGGTAGCTATTTCTATCGTATGTATCTCTGGTGCAACCCACGGATTGAGGGTTATTAGGGCAGCGCTAGATGTCCCCGAATTGTTCGTTGCGAATGTTCAAAACCAAGTACCCCCATGCAGAGCAGAATAGATTCATCGAAAAGACTCCCAAGAAACAGAGCAGGGGCCCACAATTCCAGAATCTCCACTTTACTGGCTTGTTTGTTGTGCGCAGCGTGTGTTAAAGGGTCTGTGGTTCAGGGTTCCGGGTTTGGAGGCTTAGGTTTCCTTGGCTAGAATGCACCTTCACAGGTTCCCGTTGATACTGTGGATACTAAAAATCCTGCATAACCCAAGGTACCTTGTACCTTGGGGATTATGGTACTATAATATACTAAGGTCATGCAGGATTTTTAGTATCAACAACAGCTTGGCATTACAGCTGAACATTTTAGTCGTGAGCTCGGCACAGCTGGCTCACGTCGCCGCTGAACTTTCGCAGGTTGTAGCTAAGGTTCGTTGAAATTTACAGCCAATCATAGCATTATGCTTGGCTTGATTGAAACTGAAGGCTTGCAGGTAGTGCAATATCCGAGGCAAGACTATGACACGTCACCTCTCTTGCCATTGCCCCTATCGCCAAGAACGCCCAACCGTGTAGTTTGACCTGGGGTTCCAACTTTGCAATGATGGCCATGGTGAATACCCAAAACCCCAAAACCCCATATCCTGAAGCCCTTGAAGTTCCTCCAAACACATTGCAAGCCTGATGCTGCACGCCCCAAGAGAGCCCAATCTACCTACCATTATACTAGGCTGGAAGTTCCCTGATGTTTTTGTTTTCAATGGATTTCTGGTATCTATCATCCTAAAACCAGCTGGAATTCTAATTGCTACCAGGGGTCCAGGGAACTCAGAGCAGGACCCTTAACCTAGACCCCCCAACTAGCCTCTATTTAGGCCTAACTACCTACTAGCAGGGGCCCTACAAACCCGATCCAAACCACTAGGAGGGTCCTGGAATTTGATTTCAGGTATATTCCTCAATTTAGGGGTATTGGGCCCCTGAACTACCGAGGCGACATTTGTACCGCCATCGACGAGTGCTTGGAAGCCAAGAAGCTGCACGAGCGAGTGGCAAACTCGGGTGGATTCTTTGTGCTGGGTCAGTTGCTGGGAATGGAGGGTTGAAAACAACACGTGAATGTTTTGGGTTTGGGTTTAGGCCTTCGTGGTGCAAATGAGCAGGGAGGCGAGGCCTTACAGGGCCGCCAAAAAATAATTCAGTTTCATTTCGCTCCTTTCCTCAACCTGTCAGGCCTCGTAGATGCTGGTTTTGCCGGCAGAGTCAGATGGGTCCACGGGCACCCGTTCCAGAGCAGCAAGGAACTCTCCAAGAAGATTCAATGGTCCCAAAGCCGAGACAAGATACGAGGATCGGACTGTTCAGCGCGCATCGCCATTGTAGCGAGGTTCGAGGGGGCCATGTCTAGCAGTTTAGCCAAAATGTGGTGCAGGAGTAGGAGCAAAGAAATCATCTAGAGCAAGGACAACTACGAAGAGGGCGGCCGCAGGCGATCCGGCATTGTGGTCTGTATGTGACAGAGACGGATTCCGGGATGAATCCTCACTACAAAAGCCCTGACAGTTCGGAGATATTACGGGTATCACGGCATTGAGGGTGAAAATGAGACGGGAGATACAAGACTGCTGAACCGCCTGCTGGCCAACGCAGTTCCCAATGCAAGGCCTTTTCGATTGGACAAATCCCATGCACTTCTATAACGTATGCCACGCGAATTTTGCCCCATGCCTTGTGAAGAATTCTGTCCCTGAACCGTAAAACGAACTGCTTAGTGTCGAGGCTGGAACTTTGCACACTCCTGGCGGAAGAACTGTGCGGCGCTCGATGATGAGGGAATAGTCAGGATATGATGGTTTAGGGTTTAGGTTTATGACTGTAGGGCATATGGCCCATATGCCCTGAACAGGCCGAATCGGACCTTGAGTGTCTTAGATTCCCATGGTATTTAACATTAGCCTCAATCCCTAATATGCCACCCATGAGAGAATCAGATATCCTAAAATTTCAAAAGGGAATTCCTAATTACAATGCAACCTGAACCCCAATCCTTAAACGCTACAAAGTTGTAGGGTTGGCTGCTTACAGTCGGTGCTTGGTGCAACGCCTGAAGATTCCAAGCCTAAGACTAGGAAGTTCGTGGAGTGCCTGTGCATTTGTGCCTACTGCTCAGAGTTCCGTAGCATTTGATGGATTGACACGGTAGCTAAACAGAGTTTCAGGTACGCAGGGCTTACATGGGGTCACTAAGGATCTTCCAGCTAGATCAGTAGAGAGGAACCTCATGGTTTGATTCTCAAACCCCTTTTCAAGGAGCCCTTTTCAAGGGGGCCCTTCCTTTTTAGGCCGCCTGGCTTGGGATCCGCCCTTCTGCTAGGTCTAGGACATCCTATCATTTTTCTGTAATATAGGTTTGGGCCCCGGACGCTAAGACATGTTTTGCGAGTGCTGGAGGTCCTGGAGCGGATGAAGAGCGGCTGCCTAAGTCTGCTGCAAATGCTTGCATTCCGCATGGCCGTCAATGATTGGATCATAAGTATCTAGCATGGAGCATCGTGGGCCACACTTTGCAGGTTCCTTGCAGGGCAACCAGCAGTTGTTGAATGACTTTGGTATCCTTGGATTCCTTAGCCGTAGCTTTAGCTTCAGTTAGCAAAAGCATCACGGTCAGCCGCTGTGTCCACAAACTCGGGAGGCTGAGTTGAACGGTTTGAGGGTCACCCCCCCTTCTCTCCGGGAACGGTGCAGGCCTAAATACCATTAGGCATGTGGTGAATACCATACTTGAGGGGACAATATTCTTAATATGTTAAATCTTCGTATCAAAGCCTGCTTTGGTTGGTTATGGTGTTTCGCATAGAGACCGACAAAATGTAAGAGAGCCCCATAAACTGTACTGCAAGCAGAAGCCCTACCAAGCTGTCCACGCTGAGTAGGAACTGGGGTCATGGAGGAGGGAGGGCCTTCATACCACTGAAGAACTAGGGCATGAATATTTGAATGAATGCCTGAGGCAGCCAGCATGCAAAGGTCTTAAGCCCCAGCCCTGAACCCTGAACCATTTTGCAAAGTCTGATCCCTGCCATGATCCGTAGACCCTTGGATGCTGCCCTCTCCCAGTAATACCCAATAATAGGTGGACAAGCGGCAGTGTAAAGGTACTGTGTGGAGCCCTCATGCTTTCTCCTTTGGAATTTGGAGGGGTCAGCACCCAGCCTAAACACAAAGCCCAAAACCACAGCGCCAGGTCTCGAGCGGCTAGTCTCGACACACTGCGCAGCAAAATAGGGTTTAGGGGTTTCGAGTTTACATGGCTTCTGGCGGACACGCAAGAGCCCAGATGCAAAAGGGTTTACATGGTTGACATGAGGCGTGCCTGCCAGAGAGACAGCTCCAAGAGCGGGGGTCAACATATACAGTCCTCATTCCTGCTGTTGAAAGACTTCTGGCATAATTCTTCGGGCGCGTAGCAAGAAAGGGGGGAATGCTCATGTACACGAAGAGGTCAAACATGCACCAAGACCCTGAGATATCCTTGGTCCTACCCTCAAGTTTACCCAGTTTACTTACCTTTGGTCAGCTAGGAATGCAGGAATGGATCCTTGTAGTAGTCCCTATATGGCCAGTTATAGTAGTTTCTATGTTCTGTTCCATTCCTTCATTCCCACCCTAAACCTAAACCCTAAACCCTACATAATCCCTATACTCCCTGTAGTTTCCATGTTCTGTTCCATTCCTTCATTTGCAGCTAACCAAAGGTAAGTTAAGGGTTGTGCTCCGCTCCCACACCTTCAGTGGACTGGCCCTAAAAGAAACAGCATCTTTGTGAAAGACGCTTCCTGGGGCGTCGCAGCTAATAAAGGCAGGGGGCATGGGATTTCAACAAGAGAGTGTGTAAAGATCCATTACTCCATACCTTGCGCACCCCTCAGCCCTAGATAATGTGATAGTTGGTCTAGGG